GTCTCAAGCTTTTACAACTCATTTATATTTCCTGATTATATTTTGTGCACATACAAGTTTTGTTTTCTTTCTTTCCTATCCTTATTTTTTTTCTTATATGTTTTGAGCTGACTAGCACCCCAGTGGGCAATCTTGTCCTCACACAGCTCTGCATATTCTTTCTTATATCCCTATCTTCCACTCCTCCCTAATACCTGAAACTCTTCATTAGTGAAATCACTGGTATCCACCACCTCTTCAGGATGTTCCCTTCACATTCTTGTGCTCACACAAACCTAACTGTCCCCTGAGGACACTGTTTTCCTGGTAACCTCTCAAGTCATGGCTGTTTTCTCCTACCACCCTTGTATCATGGGGCCTGGTAACATGGCTGGTGTCCTCCTCACTCCTCATTGCTACTTTCTGTGCATTTTCCTTTCTCCTCTCTAAACTACTAGCTCTGAATCTCCTGTCATCACATTACATTACCTTCTATCCCTTATTGTTACTGCTGTCAGTTCCAGGGTTACTTCCCTTCATGAAACCCATGATTCCCCAAGTAGTTGAGGCTTGGAGGCTTTCTAGAGCATGCATGCTTGCACTTTAGTGCGCCAGGAGAGCTGCATGCTCACCATCAGCCACTTGTCTTTGTTCCCAAACTTGCTCATGTCAGTTGTGCTTGGATTTATAATTATACTTTAATTAACACATTATCTACCATGTGAGTTTTATGTAACTCAAGCTAGTTTTGAGCCCAGGGCCTCTTAAAGCATATGTAACTCACACATCTCTTGAACCTTGGGAATCATGTTTTTCAAGTTGCATATAACTCACGCATAGAAAACAATAAAAAATAACAAATTTTCCATTAAATTAGAAAGGATTATTTTGTTTTTGAAGTTTTTATTCTGTCTTCACAATAAAACACCGTGGACCCAAGGAAATATTTTTTTTCTAGTGTGGCAGTCAATGTGTTAAGAGAGTATGTAACAATGAATGTCAATAAAAAGCATTTTAGGTTTCTATAAAAAGTCGAACATTTTGGAAACACTTGACAAAGAAATACTGAACAGCTCCCCTCTCCCCTCAACAAAAAAAAAGAAAAAAAAAGAAAAGAAAAAAGAAATACTGAACAAACTTTAATTAGGTGTGAGAGAATTCACTGTAAAGCCTGGGTAAAAATATAAAAGAATTTACCCTCAGACTACTTTCCAGTTGTTTTTTAAGTTCTTGCTCCACATTTTTTTTTTCTTTTGAGACTGAGTCTCACTCTATTGCCCCGGCTAGAGTGCAGTGGCATCAGCCTAGCTCACAGCAACCTCAAATTCCTGGGCTCAAGTGATGTCCTGCCTCAGCCTCCCGAGTAGCTGGGACTACAGACACGTGTCACCGTGTCCGGCTAATTTTTTCTATTTTTAGCTGTTTGGCTAATTTCTTTCTATTTATAGTAGAGACGGGGTCTCACTCTTGCTCAGGCTGGTCTTGAACTCCTGAGCTCAAGCAATCCTCCTGCCTCGGCCTCCCAGAGTGCTAGGATTACAGGTGTGAGCCACCGTGCCTGGCCTAGTTGACTTTTTAAATTAACCAACACTGCTACCAATTGTTTATATAGGTCAGAGAGTTTCCATTGTACCACTTATACAAGATCTTATCTGCATCTCATAACAACCTTGTGTGTGAGAGACACCTCCATTTTACAGACAAGGAAGCTGAGGCTCAGAGATGGAAGGTGAGGTGGCTTATCTTCAATCACATGACTAATGAGTGAAGCTTTTACCTCCTGAGTGCTAAAGCAGCCTCCTGGTGGCCATGGCAGTTTGGGTCTCCCCAGTCTAGTCACAATGACGATGGTAGTAACAACAATAATGGCTGGCTTTTAAAGAGCACTTACCATGTTCTACGCATTGTGCTAAGCACTTTATACCTATCTCATTTAATCTACCCCAAATCCTATGATCTGAGAATTATTACCTCAACATTTTACTGGTAAAGAAACTGAGGCTCAGAAAGGTAAAGGAACTTGCCTAAACGGTGAAGCCAGGCTTTAAAACTAGGCACTCTAACTCCCAGCTACTCAGAATTCTGAGGTGGGAGGATTGCTTGGACCCAGGAGTTCGAGGTTGTGGTGAGCTATGATTGTACCACTGTACTCTATCCTGGACAACAGAGCAAGACCCTATCTAAAAAAAAAAAAAAAAAAATGTGGTCACAGAACAACCCGCCATCCTAAAATATGGAGAGAGACAGGTGCCCTCAGAGAGATACAGGACCCAGCCTGTGTGCTCTTGACCACTGAACCATACTTCCTCTCATCTTACAGCAGGGCTCCTTGGAACCCAGGTAAATGCAAAATCATCCTTGCTCCAGGGCTGGCCAACCTCTGAAGAGCAGTGATAGCACTGTCAAAAATCAGAATTTAGTGTGGATGTTATGCCACAGAACTCCTTTCCATATACTGACTACGAAGTTTACCTAGTGAGTATGGAGAGACTATGTGTATCTAGACAACAGTGCATGAGCCTCAGAGGAAAGGTGAGCATGAAATGAGGATTCTCCAACCCTCAAGTGCAGGTCCCAAATCACTGACCTTGTAAACATTTTGTAGGACAAGGTGCATTTTATCAGGGTGAACAGCTGAGAGCACAAATATCAACAAGACAACATCCACAGACTCTGGTGGAACATGATCCAGGAGGTCATCTTTAGTCAGATCACACTGGAATACCTTGCATCTTTCTGTGTTATACAAAGGATTTTGCTAGAGAGGGGAAAAAACACAAATGAATTTTAACACAACCACTATGCTGATACACACAGAAAAATACAGCATCCTATTTAATATTTCCATTTATGTATTGCTGCATAGAAACGAGCAATCACTTTGTTACTGGATAAAACTTAATAAGTCATTTGCATATAAAGCATGTAATATTCAATATCACTATAAGGGGCAAGATTTCATTTTAACAAATCATTTTTTTTTTTGTCTCACCCTGTTGCCTGGGCTAAAGGGCTGTGGTGTTAGCCTAGCTCATAGCAACCTCAAGCTCCCGGGCTCAGGTGATCCTCCTGCCTCAGCTGCCTGAGTAGTTGGGACTACAGGCATGTGCTACCATGCTCAGCTAATTTTTTCTATATATTTTTAGTTGTCCAGCTAATTTCTTTCTATGTTTAGCAGAGACGGGGTCTCACTCTTGCTCAGGCTGGTCTCGAACTCCTGACCTCAAGCGATCCTCCCGTCTTGGTCTCCCAGAGTGCTAGGATTACAGGCGTGAGCCACCGTGCCCGGCCAACAAATCATTTTTAACAAAGGATAGAATACAGTTTATTACATATCCAAAAGTGAACATTTTAGAAGCATATATTTCCAGAGGGATGATAGTCCAAAACTTCCCTCTGCTTTCTTAATCCTCCTTTAAATCATCCACTACAAGACTACACCCTGTGAGAATCCCTGCAAACTCTCCTTATTGAGATGCTCCCACAGTTCTTCTGGGGTATATTTTCCCTTGATGCAGCAAGCTAAATAAACTTAACCTTTTTTGACTGGAAGTGTGTTCCTGAAACATTTTAGTTGGTAGGCTTCAACATATGTGTAAATGTATTATGAAGAAAAATATTAAACATCTTTCATGTAAATGAGGACCTGAAATAAATATAGTTGGTGGGAAATTTTTTTTTTTTTTTTTTTGAGACAGAGTCTTGCTCTGTTACCCAGGCTAGAGTGCTGTGGCATCAGCCTAACTCACAGCAACCTCAAACCCCTGGGCTCAAGCAATCCTTCTGCCTCAGCCTCCCAAGTAGCTGGGACTATAGGCATACGCCACCATGCCCGGCTAAGTTTTTTTCTATATATTTTTAGTTGTCCAGCTAATTTCTTTCTATTTTTAGTAGAGACGGGGTCTTGCTCTTGTTCAAGCTGGTCTCGAACTCCTGACCTTGAGCCATCCTCCCGCCTTGGCCTTCCCAGAGTGCTAGGATTATAGGCGTAAGCCACCACGCCTGGCCTGGGTGGGAAAATTAACATTGAAAAGATGTCAATTCTACCCATAATTTCACTTATAAATCCAATGTAATCTCAACTGAATCCCAGTAGTTTTCTAGAAACCTGACAAGGTGAATCTAATTCATCAGGAAGTAAAAATCTTTAGGAATAGCCAAGTCAATTTTTAAAAGGAAGAACAATGAACAATGAAGGAGGAAGTACACTGCTGGACATCAAAACATATTATAAAATGTAGTAATAAAACGATGTGATTTGAGAATGCGGACATATAGATTACTGAAACAGAACAGAGTCCCCAACACTGACCTGTGTATACTACATACACACGCAGGAATTTAGTATTTTCTATAAGATAGATAAAGGTTACAATTAGATTAAAAGGTAGATAATAAAGGTGACAATTATCAGTGAGGAAAAATTAATTTCTCAATTTATTGTGTTCAGACAACTGGCTACCCATTTGAATTAAAGGATAATTGGCTACCCATATGCATTAAAGGGCTCCCAGTTTTAGCCAAGAGATGTATATAAAAGTGGAAAGACATAGCTCCCATCCTTAACAAGAAAAAAATTGGACAGAAAGTAAAGTAATAACTTTTCTGTGCACCTAGAAGAACAGAGGTCAAGCCTGGGCAACAAGTGAGACCCCTTCTCTACCAAAAATAAAAGAACTTAGCCAGGTGTAGTGGTGCCTGCCTGTAGTCCCAGCTGGTCAGGTGGCTGAGGTGGGAGGACTGCTTGGGCCCAGGAGTTCAAGGTTGTGGTGAGTTATGATTGCAACACTGTACTTCATCGTGGGTAACAGAGCAAGACCCTGTCTCAAAGAAAAAAAAAAAGAACAGAGGTCACAGAACAACCCGCCGCCATCCTAAAATTTGGAGAAAGACAGGCGCCCTCAGGAGACACAGGATCCAAGCACTTGCTTACCTGAGGCCAAAGCCTCCAGAGTGGAAAGATAAAACTAGAAAGTTGACAAATTGCTGGAGACCAAGTGTGGGCCTTCCACCGGGAGTATCACCCAGGCCTTCACACAGAGGATGATGCTCTTTCCAGTGCTGGCCTTTCTCTTCTCCTTTAAGGAAGAAAAGGCTGAATCTGCAGGGAAGAGGTTATCTGAGGCCTGTAGCCTAAGGGCACTGGTGGAATACCACTGCAGCTAGGAGAAAGGAACTGTTCTGCCCAGACTTAGTGCTAATCTGCAGGGAGAACAGCCTCAAGATCACAGAAGAGGACACTGGTGAATATCTCCTGCAGCTGGGGGAGAAATGCAGGAGAAAAGCTTTATTCTTGGAGAGACAGAAACACTTGTGAAGGCCACACCCTTGAGACACAGGCCCACTGTACAGTTCGAAAATGGAGAAGCAGAACATTAGAGAACAATCCCCTCCCCAACACCCCACCAACAAGTCTCCAACAACAGTAATGCAGCTGGGAGAGCTGCAACAGACTGACCCTTTTTGGGACACACCATAAAGAGAAGACCCAAAGCCAAGAAGGGAGACAAAAACAAAGTCACAAGAGGAGTCTGAAGTCTCTGGTACCATAACAATGACAAACCTCACAGATAACTGTAGCAACAACAGACTTCAAACACAGCCCAACTCCTGACTAGATTATTACAAATATATATTACCTCAGTATCTACTACTGCCCTGTTTCAACCAAAAAATACAACACATACCAAAAGGCAAGAAAAAATAAATCTGAAGAGACAAAGCAATAATCATCAGAGCCAGACTCAAATATGACACAGATGTTGGAACTAAAAGTTAGGGTATTTAAAATAACTATGATTAAAATATTAAAGGCTCTACGGCCGGGCGCGGTGGCTCATGCCTGTAATCCTAGCACTCTGGGAGGCCGAGGCGGGTGGATCGCTCAAGGTCAGGAGTTCGAGACCAGCCTGAGCAAGAGCAAGACCCCATCTCTACTAAAAAATAGAAAGAAATTATCTGGACAACTAAAAATATATATATAGAAAAAATTAGCCAGGCATGGTGGCGCATGTCTGTGGTCCCAGCTACTCGGGAGGCTGAGGCAGAAGGATTGCTTGAGCCCAGGAGTTTGAGGTTGCTGTGAGCTAGGCTGACGCCACGGCACTCACTCTAGACCGGGCAACAAAGCAAGACTCTGTTTCAAAAAAAAAAGAAAAACAAACAAAAAACATTAAAGGCTCTAATACAAAAGATAGATAACATGCAAGATCAAATAGGTAACTTCAGGGATGGAAACTATAAAAAGACTCAAATGGAAATGCTAAAAACCAAAAACATGGTAATAGAAATGAAGAATGTGTTCAGTGGGTTCATCAACAGGGACATCAACTGCCTAGAAAAGAATCAGTAAACTTGGCCAGGCATGGTGGCTCACGCCTATAATCCTAGCACTCTGGGGGCCGAGGCGGGAGGATTGCTTGAGGTCAGGAGCTCGAGACCAGCCTAAGCAAGAGTGAGAACCCTGTTCCTACTAAAAATAGAAAAAATTAGCCAGGCAACTAAAAATAGAAAGAAAAAAACCACTAGCTGGGTGTGGCGGTGAGTGCCTGTAGTCCCAGCTACTCAGGAGGCTGAGGCAGTAGGATTACTTGAGGCCAGGAGTTTGAGGTTGCTGTGAGCTAGGCTGATGCCACAGCACTCTAACCTGGGTAAAAGAATGAGACTTTGTCTCAAAAAAAAAAAAAAAACAACCCAGTAAATAGAAATTATACAAACTGAAAATGCAAAGAGGAAAAACTCTAAAACAATAGCATTTAAGAGTTATAGAGCAATAGCAAATGGTATAACATACACGTAACTGGAATCACAGAAGGAGAAAAGAGAATGAGAACTAAAGAAAGTACCTGAAAAGAAATAATGAGCAAAATTTTTCCAGATTAACTAATAACGAAAATTATAAAAGCAATATATAGGTGATTGTGTCTACATCCTAGGAGTAAAGAACTCCTAAACAAGACATAAAACTTAAGCACCTCAAAGGGAAAAGATTAATATATTTGACGTGATAATTTAAATTCTGTGAAAGAGAAGAGGTTCCATAAAACAATGCTGAATAAACTGGAAGAAATGTTTACGATGTGTATACCAGAATATTCAGAATATATCCTGAAAATAAGAAAGAAAATGACAAACCAATAGAAAAACGGACAAAGGTTGTAAAGGGACAATCCCTCCTATAATATAAGCTTCACATGGGCAAGGATTTTTGTCTGTTCACTGCTTACCCCTAGTGCTTGGAATAGTGACTGACACACATTAAGCTCTCAATAAACATGTGGAATAAAGGAACTCACAGGTAACTAACACTATTTACTTATTATAAGTTAGTTTAACCTCTCTGGTAGGCAATTTGGAAAAAAACAAATTAAAATATGGAGACATTATTTTCTGTCCATAAGATTGGTATATATTAATATAAAAAAGACTGGTATCAAACATTGAGGAAATAGAGAAAAAGGTACCTTTATATTATTGGTGAAATTACAAATTGATATCATCTTTTTGGAAGGAAACTTGGCATTATCTATTAAAATTTAAATGTGCACGCTCTTCTTCCAAGGAATTCTACTTCTTCCATTACTCATCACAGAGAAAGGTGCACACACTGTTTTGGGAAGTACGTGTACGATGATGGTCACATTAACCCTATTTGTAAGAGCATAGAATTAGAAGTGATTCAAATGAGTATCAACAGGGTAATTGTTAAAGTGTGGTATATTTATTCTATGGAACACTATAGCAGGTAAATAAAATCTACATGTGCTAACATAAAAAAACTAAGATACACTAATGTTAAGAAAGCAAGTTATAGTAAATGTGATACCACCACAATTTAAAAAAGTTCTAATGAATGCTAAAATTGTGAAACGCTAATGGGGAATTAGATATTTGCATGGTGCCGAAGTGTCCCCCACATATTCGTTAACGGCAAAAGGGAAACATTTTTTACAACAGGGGACTTAAGCAGTTACTACCTTAACCCTGTGGTCAAAATTAATATCATTTATAGTGAGATCACTGGACAGTATTGCCTCCTGTCAGGATGTAATATGTAAGATACAACATCACCTATTAAAGTATTTTTGACAAGAATATTTTGCCTGACTTAAATTTAACTTCTAATTTACAAGAAATACAGAAGATAGAGGAATAAGCTAAACAATAACATAAAGAAACAATCTGATCAATCTGGAACATGGGACTTTATTATAGAAAATTGCCTTGATCTCTCCAAGAACTCATTGTAAATGAGGAAAAAGGTAAGGGGTAGAGCAGGAGTATTTTAAGCTAAGGAGATTTAAAGGACGTAATGGAAGAGTTAAGAGGGAGCCCTTGATTGGATTAAAAACAGTAATAAAAGACACCTGGAATTATTTGGGGACCTCCTGAATCTGGAATGGGGTCTGGAATGGGAATTAATGCCATTACGGGATTACAGTTATTTTTGTTAGCTATGACAAGCTTATTATGGTCATGTAGAAAAAGGCTCCCTTTTTCTGGAGATGTGTGCAGACATACTTAGGAGTGAAATGTCTTTATGTTTGTAATTTACTTTAAAATAGTTCAGCAAAAAGTCTATAAAGCAAAAGGTGTTAAGTATATGGGTGTTGTTATGGTATATTTTCCTACTTTTCTTGAATAAACTTGTATTTCTATATACTGTATAGGTAGGTGAACAGGAAAACTACATTCATGGTGATCACAGCTGGTTAGCTCCAGAGTAGACTGAAATTGGGCAAATGGGTATAGAGGGCAGGTCAAACAAATCTAAGAAAACAGAAACACAGCAGAATACATAGATGGTGCACCAACCTTAACATATTCAATTGCTCTTGGAGAAAAATCACAGGCATAAGCAAAGATATTCACATCTTCTTCTAAAAGTGGAAATAAACAGTTTCCAACCCCACAGCCAGCTTCAAGCACTATCAACTTTTGATCTTCAAACTGGAGAAAGAGAACCCAAAGTTACAGTACATTATATTTGCACAATGAGGAAACAAACCAAACTCATGGCTAACTGAATAGGCTCTGGAGTTAAACTGCCTGCACTCAAATCCCAACTCCTTCCCTGCCCCTGATTTCTATCCTTGGGCAAATCACTAAAACAGCTTTGCCTCAATTTCACCTGCAAATAGGAGTAATACTAATATTTACACTTCACAGAGTTATTATATTAGAAGGCTTAAATGAGAAAACACATGCAAAGTTCTTAAAAAAGGGCCATGGTAAATAGTTCACTAACATTAATGATTATTATTATTTTGAATCTGTCACTGAAGCCATTCAGTATGAATTTATTTATTTATTTAATTTTATTTATTTATTTTTACTTAAGAGACAGAGTCTCACTATGCTGCCCTCGGTGTAATGCAGTGGCTATTCACAGGTGCGATCATCGCACACTACAGCCTCAAACTCCTGGGCTCAAGCGATTCTCCTGCCTCAGTCTCCGGAGTAGCTGGGACTATAGCCCCAAGCCATTGAGCCTGGCTCTTGTATTTAACGTTCAATGTTTACAACTTTCAGATTAGCATTAAAGAGATAAAAAGTGCCCCATTAACATTCTCTCTTCTACATATTAAACCAGAAACTGCTAAAAATTACTTGAGACCAAACATACATTTCTCTCCTAAGGTGCAAAGCATTTTCATAGGCTTCATAAATTCTCTAGTTCACATGCCATGGGAATGCAATAAAGCACCCCCCTTATACACATGTTTAATGAAGAACAATTCAGATAAAGTAGAATATTAGCTTACCTCCCTACATGATCTTAGCTCCTCAAACTCTCTGGTGGTCCAGTGTCTATCTTTGAAGAAATTAATGCTATTTCTTCTGTAAAAAAGGTCCCAGTTCTTCTGAGCCTCTTTTTCCAGCTTTTGCTGTTTAAAATCAGACACCAAAGCTTGGTCTCTTTTCAGTTTCTCCTCTTCTTCAGAGCTTAGAATTCTTGCCTGCAGCCCTTTCCTTTGCAAAGAAGCCATCTCATAAATTGAAGGTAATACATGTAACACTGCTAAAGAGTCTCCATCCCTAAATAATCTCAGGAATCCATGCTGATACTGAAGACACAGGGTTTTCTCTGATACGTTTTCTCAGGTGGATTTCACGCCTCAGACAGCACACAGGGTGCTTCGCAAGAAAAAGAATGAGATTCTGTTTAGTGGTTCTAGAACAGTTCAGCACACTGAGTCAGCAGTTCTAGTTAAGACGCTGGATTCAATTCACCAAACATTTACCAGATGCTGACCCTAAGAAAAATCCTGCCTGTTATGCGAGTAGAGGTCACAAAGACAACCAAGTCACAGTCCCTACCTTCAGAGAGGTTACATTCAGTGCTCAGGATTGTCTCATGCATCGAACCATGCACTCAAACCAAAATGAGCCAACTATTACAATAAATCGGTTTAGTTTAGGAAAAATAAAAAGGACCCTTCCACGAATTGACTGAGAAACCCTGAGGAGAAAATACTCATCAATTTCCGGGGTCCCTGAAAGGGGTGACTTAAAAAGTACAATGGCGACCTGAACTGGAAGCGGCAGTCAACTGCCAGACAGAAGTGGGGTCATTGTTTCCCAAGGGCAGGAGCTCCGTTTTTTCGGGGGATATGACACTGAACCTGAGCGGCCTCAGTTTCTGATCGCACTCACAAGAGGCTGTCGCACGAAGCAGAAGAGGTGTCGCTTTCCCAGGGACTGAAGCCCTCGCACCGCCATCACCGCGCGAAGTGGAGGAAAAGAGCCAGCAGGCGCGAGGCTAAGGTCCCTAGGATCCACCTCTCTCAGGACACTCGGGATAAACCAGGCCGCACGGGCCCCTAGGGCCCGCGGACGGCCGCCCATGCTGGCTATCAGACCCACGTTAACCTAGTCAGCCAAGCTGTGGGCTCACCGTCATCAGTTTCTGAATTCACCTCTAGGGGTAGGGCCGGGCGTACTCACCGCGCAGCTGGGCCCAGGCCTAGAAGGCAGAATTTGGAAGCATCCGCGGACAAAGCCTGAATCTGGACAAGACAGGCCTCAAGACCTCCAATTGGGATTCTCCCGGTGGAATTCTTTTGCCATGGTACCGCCCCCGCCACTTCCGCTAGGAACCCGGAAGTTCCTCCCCGACGCCGGAAGTCCCGGGGCCTTGCATCCTCAGAGTCTCCCCCAACCTAGACACCGAGGAGGGGACTTGTTTCCGGCAGTCGAGGGGCGCCGGCTGGGCTGGCGGTGCGCTACGGAGTGGTGTCCTGGGAGCACCGTCCTCCCACACGCCGGCGCCGGAAGCCCGGGCTGCGGCCGCGCCAGGAGAGCGCCGCTCTCGGCGCTAGGCCCGTGCGCGGCCATGAACGGGACCGCGAACCCGCTGCTGGACCGCGAGGAACATTGCCTACGACTCGGGGAGAGCTTCGAGAAGCGGCCGCGGGCCTCCTTCCACACCATTCGCTGTAAGTCAATGCTCCCACGGTTCCCTTCGGCCGCTCCAGCCGCCACATGCCAACCTCGACTCCTTCCTTTCTTCCCTCTGTCCTCCAAAGTCCAGGGACCTCCCTGCCAACGTTAGTTTCCCTCTTTTCTTACCCCAAATTCTCCAGAATCTCGGTCTGTTCCTTCTTTTGACAGATCGGTCCTCCCAAACCTTCGTCACTCCCAATTATTCTTCTACCTCATAATTCCAAAAGTCATTGGCCCCTTTCCATTTCGATTCTCCCCCCAGATCTTAAGCCAAACCACCCTCTCTTATCGGGGTCCAGTTCTTCTTCCACGGATCCATCCCCTTCCTTTCTGATTACCCCATCAGGGTCCTCCACATGTAAAAGACTCTTCCCGTTTGCTATGAGCCTCATCTATTCCCTCCTAATGCATTCTCTTCCCTGCTTTTCTCAGCTTTTTTTCCATCTCGGTCTTAGTCCTGGACACGCTGATACTGCGCTTTGTCCCCTCTACAGCCAAAGAATTTTCATTCTCTCTGCGCCGCATCTGTCTTCCTCTTTCTCCTTCCCGTGCTTCGTTTTACTTCGATGTCTTTTGAAGTCATCTGTATACCACTCTGACTTTTCTCCTGAACCAAGTCCCTTGTGGGTAAAGAATAAAATTAGAATTTGTGAGCCAGGGATAGGTTGAAGCTTGATCTATGTTTGGAAGAAGAGAGCAGGCATAAGGAATGTCGAAATAGTCATTATGCTGAACCTTTTCCCACATGATTATAGACTCTGTTTAGACAGTACACTTCCACTCTATGTCCTGGGTGAAGATTTGGTTGTTAGGAATTGGCTGACTGAGCATCCCTCCATGATTCACAACCTTTTGGTTTCCTGTAGCACTAACACTGGTTAAGACTTGTTTTTGTCAGAGGAGGTAATAATAGATGTGACTCAACATATATGAAGAGGGTGTGTTTGATAATGAAGTTCCAGCTTTGTGTGGTCATTTGCTGTGCCATTACTGCGCTTCCTCCTGACAGCAGTTCCAGCTCTTTCAGAGAGAGAATACTGGGAATGTGATAAGAACATCATTTCCCGAGTAGTTTGTTAAGTTGATGTTTTCCTCTAGTGCAGGGGAATATGGAATTTAAATGAGATCATTCGTGTATGCTCACGACCTGTAGTTTGAGGCAGGTGTGTTAATGTGAAGGAAGATGGCCATTGATGTTGTGCTCTAACTGCAGTTCAGAAACGTGAGCAGGATAACCTTTAGAGATACAGTTCAGTTGTCTCTCTGAACACCTACAGAAGCATCTTTGTTAAAGCTATGGAACTTGAGTGTGGCAAATCCTAATTTTAACATTTTCTATACAAAATGAAATCAGCTTTTGTGAGGCTGTGGCCTTTTATATTTCATATAGGTTTTATAATCACAGAATCTTTTTCATATGCTTGTCCTCACAACTCTAATTAAACACCTTGTGGATAATGAGGCATTAATTTTCATCTATCCCTTTTATTATCTTTGTTTAATAAAATGGCATATAAATTCTAGCTTTTTTACCCCCAAAGTAATCCAGTGGGGGGATCAGAGGAAAAATATGTGGAAGAGTAGATGAAACAAGATCATCCCTGAATTGGTAATAATTGAAGCTGGACGATGATACACCAGGGTTCACTGTCTAGTCTATGTTTGCATATGTGAAGTTTTCTATAATAGTTTTTAAGAATTCTAAATCGGCCTGGCATGGTGGCTCACTCCTGTAATCCTAGCACTCTGGGAGGTGGAGGCAGGAGGATTGCTTGAGCTCAGGAGTTCAAGACCAGCCTCAGCATGAGCAAGACCCCATCTCTACTAAAAAATAGAAAGAAATTAGCTGGACAACTAAAAATAGAAAAAGTTAGCTGGGCGTGGTGGCGCATGCCTGTAGTTCCAGCTACTCGGGAGGCTGAGGCAGGAGAATTACTTGAGCCCAGGAGCTTGAGGTTGCTGTGAGCTAGGTTGACGCCACAGCACTCTAGCCCGGCAACAGAGTGAGACTCTGTCTCAAAAAAAAAAAAAAAAAAAAAAAAAAAATAGAATTCTAAATCATTTTTATTTTCTAGTTCTTTGAGTAATAAAAGTTTAATTCTTAAATGAAAATACCGGAAGAACCCTATTATAAATAACCTGGTGGTTAAATGCTTTTATCCTTTCCCATTAGATGATTTTAAGCCAGCATCTATAGACACTTCCTGTGAAGGAGAGCTTCAGGTTGGCAAAGGAGATGAAGTCACAATTACACTGCCACATATCCCTGTAAGTTTATTTCATTTTTTAAAAATATAGGATCATAGTGAATTCTCATATTTTATGTTACTGCAATTTAAACTTCCTACTGTTTAAAAATGTCTAGATTTCTAAAGTACCAACATTGGGTAAAAGGAATTCTAGGTGGTAGAAGGGGGTGGAATTCATGCTACTCAAGTGGTTCATTAAAAATGATTCTTTGCCATTTTCTCCAAGCTCCCCTTTCCTCTATTTGCTATACAGTAGACAAGTTCTGTCTGGACACCTAATCCCTCTTTTAGACATGCATTTTTTTCTCCCAAGTAACTCCAAAGAGAAAAGCCTTAGGTGCCCTGCTGTTTATATAGGTTTAACAGCTCAGGAGTGTGGGATAACCTCGGCAGGAGTTAAGGCAGGCAGGAGCAGGATGGACATCTTTCTGTCTGGCAAGGGGTCAAGTGCATGCTGTTAGTCTCAGGCAGGAACCAGAGGTTTGGAGCATTCAGCTAATTTAGGGTGAAGAAGTTGGTTAGAAGCTGTACTGAGAACCCTTGCAAAGAAAGACTTCTGTGAAGGCCTGCCCAAGGCAGCACTAATCACAAAGCCCAAAGAGTTGCATGATGTTCTTAATGAACATGTGTCATTGCATGTCACAGCCTTGTCCAGGAACATAATAAGTTCTTGGTAGCTGATCATAGAATGAAAAGGCTCTGGACACAAAGACCTGGAAAGCTTTGTGCTGAGGAAAAATTGCCTGTTCAAACTGCTACTTCATTACTTGTTGCTTTTGGCAGGTTACATCATCTCCCTTTGGACCTTAGTTTCCCAAATGTAAAATGAAAGAGTTAGATAAATGGTCCCCAAAGTCCCTTCCAATTCTAAATTTTTATTGTATGAATAAGGAGTCAAAGAGCCAAGCAGTTTTGATTCTAAGCAAGGCATTAAATCCTATATTCAACAAATGTTAATTGAATGCTTACCATGTTGTCGGCCCATTACTAGGCACTAAGAATACAGCCTCAAACAAAACAAGCATATTTTCTTGCCCTTGTGGATCTTATGGTTTGGAGTTTAAGTAAATATAAGAAAATATAAGCCTGGCATGGTGGCTCATACCTATAATCCTAGCAATCTGGGAGGCCGAGGAGGGAGGACCTCCCCCAAGGTCAGGAGTTCGAGACCAGCCTGATGAAGAGCGAGACCCACCTCTACCAGAAATAGAAAAATTAGCTGGGTGCTTTGCCTCTCGCCTGTAGTTCCCAGCTACTTGGGAGGTTGAGGCGGGAGGATCACTTGAGCCCAGGGGTTGGGGGTTGCAGTGAGCTATGATGATGCCACTGCACTCCAGCCTAGTTGACAGAGTGAGACCCTGTCTCGAAAAAAAAGAAGAAAAAGAAAATGCAGCACTTAATTCTCGATAATCAGGGAAGACTTCCTTAAGGAAGTAACCTTTGAGCAGATCTGAAGTTTGAGTAAATTAAAGAGAAAGGGGTAAGACGAAACAGGCAAAAGCCTTGTTAAAGCCCTGAGGCAGGCTGGGCATGGTGGCTGACGCCTGTAATCTTAGCACTCTGGGAGGCTTGAGGTCAGGAGTTCGAGACCAGCCTGAGCAAGAGCGAGACCCCGGTCTCTACTAAAAGTAGAAAGAAATTAGCCAGACAACTGAAAATATATAGGAAAAATTAGCCGGGCATGGTGGTACATACCTGTAGTCCCAGCTACTCGGGAGTCTGAGGCAGAAAGATTACTTGAGCCCAGGAGTGTGAGGTTGCTGTGAGCCAGGCTTATATGCCATGGCACTCTAGCCCAGGCAACAGAGTGAGACTCTGTCTCCAAAAAAAAAAAAAAAAAAGCCCTGAGAAAGGAAAGAGCTCGAGGATCTGAGAGAAGCCACTTCCCGTCTGCTCTGAAGCACGAAGAGCCCACGGGCTCATAGTACAGGGTGAGGCTGGAGAGCCAAGGAAGAACCAGGTGGTACAAGCCCAGATGGCTGGTTTAAAATTTTATCCTTTGGCCTGAGAGCAACAGAGGAGTGGTAGAAGGGCTTAGGCAGGTGAATGGCATGATCACTACTCTGAGCTAACTAGGAGATGACCTGCCCTTGGAGTGGGCTCTGTTGGTTACTTGTCATAAGAGAGGGTAGCCCTGGACTCTTCAATTACAAAGAAATATGAAAGAAAACAAAACAAGATGGCTGTCTTGTTTTAACTATGCAGTGTAATAGCTCTACTTAGTGTAATGCAAGTAATGTTTAATTTATTTTTCTAAGTTTGTACTTTACCATTATTTGTAATGCTTCCCCAAATCCTTAGAAACATGTACAGTAATTTAAAATTTTTACACTACCTTTCTTTTTTTTTTTTTTTGAGACAGAGTCTGGTTCTGTTGCCGTGGCTAGAGTGCCGTGGTGTCAGCCTAGCTCACAGCAACCTCAAACTCCTGGGCTCAAGCGATCTTCCTGCCTCAGCCTCCCGAGTAGCTGGGACAGACATGCGCCACCATGCTCAGCTAATTTTTTCTATATATTTTTAGTTGTCCAGCTAATTTCTTTCTATTTTTAGCAGAGACGGGCTCTCGCTCTTGCTCAGGCTGGTCTCCAACTTCTGATCTTGAGCCATCTTCCGGCCTCAGCCTCCCAGAGTGATAGGATTACAGGCGTGAGCCACCGCGCCTGGCCTACACTACCTTTCTTAATTACTTAGAATCAGTTGCACAGTCACAGATTTTTGCTGTATTATTATATCTCTTTTATTTTTGCCTGGGAACTCGGAGTTAAAATAGAAATCAGTTCATTCTGTTCATTTTGAGTGGCTTTGATAAAAGATTTTATCACATAAAGTCATCTATAAATTCCGTTTTGTTATTTATAACTGTTTAGTTTGATCATCTTATACTTTTGTGGCAAATAGGGATCCACACCACCAATGACTGTGTTCAAGGGAAACAAACGGCCTTACCAGAAAGACTGTGTGCTTATTATTAATCATGACACTGGTGAATATGTGCTGGAAAAACTCAGTAGTAGCATTCAGGTGAAGAAAACAAGGTATGTAAATAATCAGATACAGATTTATATCATGTTTCTAAACCTTTGTGTTATCTATTCAGTTTTTAGAAGGTTGTGAGCATCTGCTTGCTCATAGTGTTCTATTGATAATCTTAACTGCACCTGTGTCTTCTCAGACAAATCAATAAACTATATCTTTTCCTCAAATGCAATAAAAAATATTTTAAGACCTAAAACATGGGAACCATTGGGGAAAGGGATGTACTTTATAATTAACCCAATTTTGTTAATCTCATGATTGTTGATAAAGTACTACCCAAGGGATAAAATTTAAATTGATAGATTTATAATTATGAAATAATAATTAAATATATTGTTTATTAAAGTGAAACATTAATTTTTTTACAAGGTACATTTGAGGTCATTATAATACCAAAATAAAACTGCCTATTTTTTAAAATAGTGAACTCTTTCACTCAGGTATTACATAATCTAATATGAAGCCAGTTAAAGTTTATTTGAAAGTCAAAATTAATTCTATTAATAGAAGTAACCAGTTGGTTCTATTTGTTACATCGTAATATAGTAATTATTATAGTACTTAAATTTTAAAGGGAGCCTCACAGACTGATGTTTTTCTGTTCGTGCTTCCTCAAGCCATTTTTCTTGATTCACTCATTCCACAAAAAATAGCTACCGTTTATTGAGGGGTTATCGTGTGCTCAGCACTGTGCTAGATGCTTTATGTACATTATCTTATCTAATCTTTGTGAGTAATTTTTAGGTGCTATCATTATCCTTTAAAAAAAAAAACAGATAAGGAGACTGAGGATTAGAGAGATTGTGACTTACCTTAATTTGAGTGCTAGAGCTGAGAACTAGCCCAGGCAGTGTGCTGTAGAGCCCTTGCTCTAGAGCCCTTGCTCCTGTTCTGCTGCTATTTGTATTCAGTACATACAGTGAACCAGGTGCTGCAGTTACCCCTCCAGTGTCTGTTGGTTGTGGTGTATTCCTTTACCACTCAGTGTGATGTGGGGACTAGCAGCATCATACCACCTGGGTACTTGTTAGACATGCAACATTTCAAGACCTACTAGGGCTGAAGCTGTAGAGTTCCCCAGGTGATTAGTATATATGCTAAAGTTTGGGCTAGTTCGTTTACAAAAGAAATTATTAATGGAAAGAATTTTCTCAGTTTGGGGTGGAACTCTGCTTGTTTGCCAACAAGAGCTGGCACGTGATGAAATGAACAAGCAGTATATAGATGATGGAAAAATTCACAAGTTGGCCAGTATTTTAAGAGGTAGTTTACTTAGGAACCCATGCACTCATGAGTGTAACTTCATATTGCACACAGTGAAGTAGTCACACAGTCATGTACTGCATAATGATGTTTTGGTCAATGACAGGCTACATATACAACAGTGGTCCCATAAGGTTATAATGGAGCATATATGAAAACCTGATATATGGCACTTGATATTGGCATTGCAGATCAAGTAGGGGAAATGACTGATATCATTAATGATGCTGGGACAGTGGGTTTTCTATATGCAAAAATATATATAAATAAAAATATATATACTATCTAGATTTGTGTAAGTACACTTCATGATGGTTCGCACGATGACGAAATCACCTAACGATGCGTTTCTTAGAACATACCATTGTTAAGCGATGCATAACTATTTTCCATTAGTAAAGTGGATTCTCATAATCACATTATATCTGTTTTATCTCCTTCTTGCTATAAAATGTGAGCTCTGTGAGGACAGTGAGTCTATTTTATTCATCCCTGCATCCTTGGTGCATAATACAGTGCTGGAATGCAGTAGACACTGAAATGTTGAATGAGTTGTTCACATGATAAAATTATAAATATCAATATTTTTCAGTGGTCTGGAAAGAGCGTGGGATTCTGCGGAGACTTCTGGGTGCTTGGTCACCTGGACAAATTTGAGAACCACTGTTTTTCCCCCTCTGATTTAGTGTCTGTATGTCCTTTCAGAGCTGAGGGGAGCAGTAAAATCCAGGCCCGAATGGAACAGCAGCCTACTCGAACCCCACAGCCATCACAGCCACCACCACCTCCACCACCTCTGCCATTCAGAGCTCCAATGAAGCCTCCAGTTGGACCCAAAACTTCTCCCTTGAAAGATAACCCCTCACCTGAACCTCAGTTGGATGATATCAAAAGAGGTAGAGAACATTTTCTGGAGCCATGATAGCAACTTGGAGTAGTGTTGACGTTCTTGTGGAGATCACAAGGCTGCTGTATTGACATGGTGGTGGGACCATTCACTGCCATCAAAAAAATTTCCGCACAGCTCACTGTTCAGAGGTGGTAAGGTTAGGGGCTTCTGCCACTTATCTCATTTGACAAGCGTGAGTCCTTGAATAGTGACTTGAATTGTGGCTATTTTGGTAGCATTCTGCTTAGGAGGTCTAGAGTTTAAACAAGCATGACTGCCACCTAAGCATGCCATATGGCATGCCTCTAAGGCTTTGGACAAAGAAAGGATTCTAGGTGTTGGGGGTGAAAACCAAATGTAGCAATGTTTCTGAGCTCTATATTCATACAATATCTGGGTTAGAGGGGCCAGGTGTGGTGGCGCACACCTATAGTCCCAACTACTTGGGAGGCTGAGGCAGGAGGATCTCTTGAGGCCAGGCGTTTGAGGCATTGGTGTACTGTCATCATGCTTGTGAATAGCAACTGCACTCTAACTTGGGCAACACAGCAAGATCCATCTGTTTAAAAAAAAAAAAATAGATTAGGGGGCTATTTAAAATACCATGACCAAATGTTTTGTGCTGATACAAAGTATATAAATATGAACAAGGCCATGAGGACCAGTGGAAGTGGATACTGGCCTAGAAAGACTTCAGGGTCTGGTTTGGCTCTCCATTGCAAACCTGGGACGAAGGAGTTTACTTTGTCTTTCTCCCCAATACAATGGATAGTTTTAATCCTTCAGAGTCTTACAAGTTATTACGCTAAGTGACATATTTCATATCTGTAAGTTTTATGAAGCAAAATTAAATCTGTAATAATAGTAGACAGGGAAGGATAGAGGTGTCCTTGGGAAGTTTGCCTGTTCCACCCTATAGAGAAGCTGCCTTTTAGCAAATGAAATCACTCTGCGCACTGTGCACAGCTGTACGCGTCTTGATTTTTTTTTCCTCGGGGATATTGGAATGCTGTTACGGACCAAGTTTCCGCTCAAGTTAAATAGGAATGAGACCGTGAGTGGCTGGTTGTTGCGAGTTATGCTTAAAGGAGCCACAGCCATTTAAGGTCACCTGGTGTGTTTGGACAGGAAAACCTGGCATCTTTCTTGATATATACTATGATGATGTATCCTTAATATATTCAGTGACATTGAAATGGCTAGGTAAAACATGTTTTTTCTTCCTTAATGTCTGTCAAAAAGGCATGGCTGTCAGTCAGGTATTCGTAGAGTGGAGAGGAGGAATGTTGTTCCACCATTTTTCTTAGCTGGAAAGGACCTCAGAGGCTGACTGGCCTTAATTTTTCCAGAGTGGCTTGGGATATTCATTGACTTCCACCTGGGTCTCACTGCTGGTGACAGGGAGATCCAAAAAAAGCACTCAGACCTTCCAAATCCTAGTCAAGTATTTTTCAAACTTTTAGCATAATATTTCTCTTATTTGGGAATTATGGTTTTATCCCATAATTCACAATCTTTTTTGTTGTTTTTTTTTAGTAGATAAAGATAAAATAGACTTAAATTATTTCTTATACAGAATAGTCATTATCCTGAAACAGAGTCTGCTTTTTATTTATTTTGGGTGCATTTAATTGTTCCATTGTCTCTCTGTAAACAGGTTTTGTTTGTTCGTTTTGGTGTTGGTAATTTTGTTTGTATGCTTTTTAAGGAATTGAGGAGTAGGGCTTTGTTTAAAATATTTTTAATTCTGTTGGTTTTGCTGATTTACTATTTATAGAAGCTTCAGTGTGCTGCCTTGGGAGTGGGTGCTGTGCTGACCCCTGTCACGTCATTTATTCCAGAGCTGAGAGCTGAAGTCGACGTTATTGAACAGATGAGCAGCAGCAGTGGCAGCAGCTCCTCAGACTCGGAGAGCTCCTCGGGAAGCGATGACGATAGCTCCAGCAGCGGTGGCGAGGACAATGGCCCCGCCTCTCCTCCGCAGCCTTCACACCCGCAGCCCTACAACAGCAGGCCTGCCATTGCCAATGGAACCAGCCGGCCACAAGGAAGCAGCCAGCTCATGAACACCCTCAGTAAGTGTGCTCTCCCTCTCATGACTGAGAGAGGGCGTTGATGCAGCTTCTATTTATCTTGTAGCAGAACCTGTAAACCTAAAGACATGTAAGGCCTAGGAAAGGATCTTGGCAAAGATAATTTGGAGCAGAAAGGAGTGAGTTACATAACACTGAAAAAGGGAAGCGTAAGACTCAAAATCTGTTCTCCCTCTTTCCCATTCCCCACTGGCACAAATTGAGTTTTGTGAATTTTGGAAAATATTTGAACATTAACGGGTAGGCTCTTTGCTTTTGCTTATATACCAGGCTGTAGGGGACCTACTTGCCACCACAGTACCCCCTGCCTCTAGGTCTTTCATAAAAAAGAATCCACTGTCTCTGCAGTGTGGTGTCCTATAGCTCACAGACTTGGGAACCTGTGCTATTGGAGTATATTTGGAGACCTATTAACCTCTGGCAAGAGGGAAAGAAATGGATACTGTAATATCTGGGTGGCTTTTAATGTAGTTGATAACTAAAGTAAAACAGGAAAATGAGAACAAAAATTTCTTTGTTTTAGAGGTGGGGAGAGGGCTGATTTTCTATGCTTTTTCTCTTTCTGGGAGCCTGATGAATGTTCTCCCCTGGTGCACCTCCTTTTGAGGAAACTGGAAGGTCTGGAGACAATGGTGGGGAAGCTAACCTAGTTAACCCTACTGTTGTGGACCAAGCAAAGATAATCTTAACCTTGGCACTATGGACATTTTGGGCTGGAAGTATCTTTGTTGTTGGGGAGCTGTCCTGTGCATGGTAGGATGTTTAAGAGCGTCCCTGACCTCTGCTCAATAGATGCTAGTACCATCCGCCTTCGCCCCTGCCCCCAGCACACACTCTGCCAACCAAAAATGTCTGAAGACATTGCCATTTGTGTCCTGTCTTCAACATGGGTTGAAGTGTATAAAGAAAATGGCATCACACAGGTCATTAGAAACGGGAGGACCTTGGGGTCAGACCCCTGTGAAAGAGTCTCAGGGACTCCAGAGTCCTCAGAACAGACTTTGAGAAGAACTAGCCTGGAGATTAGCAATCCAGTAATGCAGAAGTTTACTTTTGTTTTTTAATCCAAACGGTATCAGCTGGGACTCCGTTGTATGTATTTCTATTACATTAGATTGAAAGGTCGAGTGCTTGAATTCTTCACTCCTAAATTCTGCACACTCAACAAGAATCTGGGGCTTTGCAAAACTCAGTTCAGATTTGAGGTTTAAAATAACGTGTGTATCCTGGACAGAGGTGTACAGAGGGAATGTTGCATTAGTATATTAGTGGTGTTAGCAGTGTTCGGCTTCCTTAACAAGAACCCTAACTTGGTGTTTTATTAGCTTTTATAAAGCAACTTAATGTGAACAGTTCTACCAAATGGTGAATCCGTTATTTATAAATATTTTCTTGCTACTTACTAACACATTTAAAAGCTTTCTAGCCTACTCCTCCCTTGCTCCATCCTAATCAGTATTGCTGTGCTTTGCAGATACCAAAAATAGCATCTCTTTTAAAATGTTGACTATACCAGTTTTTTTCACTGAGCTAAATTGATTTTTCTCCCTAATTAAGTTGAATTAGCAAGATTTTACTGTAGTGTGATAGCCAGGGCAGTCAACCAAAAAATTGAGAGGAAGTCATTTTTAAATCCTGTACTTTTGGTTTTATTCTGTTTTTTTTTTTTTTTTTTTTTTTTGCAGGAAATGACTTGCAGTTGAGTGAATCTGGCAGTGACAGTGATGACTAGCACTGGATCTTTCAAAATCTACTTTTTGGTGCACAAACATGCTGCAAGACCGGGCTACTTTAGCATGGAGTCCATTGCCAAGAGGAAAATGTTATCAATCAGTGACTGTAGTAGGAGTTTGAGGCTCTGGAGCTCTCAGATATTCAAATCTTTAACTTAGTGGTGATGGGTGATTTTCTCATGTAATTTTTGAACAATCTCATGTTTCAAAGTAGATCTATAGAAGAACTAACAGAATTATATTTCTATTTAGTTAACATTGTTAATGAGAAACAGACAAATGTGCCCTGGTCTAGGTTACTCAAAGGCCATGTCTTCACCAGGCCAGTCAGTTTGGCCAAGTGGTTTGCACCAGTGAAATGAAACAGTCTTTGAGGGGATAGGAGAGAGGGGGAAACCTCAAACTGCATCACCGAAATATGTTAAAACCACTTTAAATTGTTGACACAAAGTGGTAAGGAAATGTCTGACCCAGCCTAATAAGCCTGGGTGGAAATGGATTTCAAGACGGAGTGCTTGCGTGTCAGCTGGTTGGGAACCAGGAGATCTGGCTGGCTCAGCCCCGCATTTGCAGACTAGGAAAGGAAGCACACAGCCAGCTGTGGCATCTCCTGTGCACCGCCTGCCCCGTTCCCAGGCTTTTCTCGTTACTCCCTCCCTTGAATCTCTTTTGTTGGAATCAGAGATTTCTTATACTTGGAACTTTTAGATGTACATTGGAGCTTCGATTAGATTCCAGAAGACAAAAGTGTTGGGTACTTCTAGCTTGAATTCAGATCCACACAGTCCCTAAACACGTGGGGCTGGGCGAGCAGATTAAGCCAGCAGACACTGTGCTGATGCACGCGACTGAATTAAACTGGGGCTTTTGGTTCCATGTGGATCCATAATAAATGTTCTTCATTCAGTGGATTTTAGCAGGGGGAGATAGAAGTAGAAGAGAGGGGTAGTGAAGAACCTCTCTGAACAAATGAACCAGCAGTAAGTTTCCAAAAACCAGTATCTAGATAGGAGTTCTGCAGTAGGAAATGACACATTCTTTGATAGGGGATTTCTGTTCATGCTTTTGTACCACTGTTTGTGCCTGACTCCCAGACCGATTTGTATTCTTTATATACAACTAGAAGAAAGTCACAAGATTGCCTTCTGCAGCGTGCAGTTTCCAAATGAATTTGTTGTTCCAGGAAACTGGTCACTAGTTAATGTTCCATATTGAGTGAATATGTGATAAATTGTCCTGTAATGATTATAGAGTAGCCCATTTTTGTAGTTTGAACACGTCCTGAGAAATTTCCGTCAGGACAGTAATAATAATTTTTCCTCTGAGTCCCCCCACTCAGATGGCCTCCCTCACCCCAGCTAGTGGAGGGAAGTAGTTTAGACCTGGAAAGGTAATAGTCTGTGGTGGGGGATTTGGTTTGAATTGTACCTTGTAGAGTTGACAGTTTTCATCTGCATGGTGACCCCAGTGAGCTGGAGATGGGGCAGAGCCATTGCCCAGCAGCACGCTCACACCACTGCCCCCAAGTTTAGGTAATAGGTGTGCGCTAGTACTCTGTGGTGGGTTCTCAGCTGTCGTGAAGTTGTGACGTTTCAGTGGATTTAGTGGCAGATAGGAACTTATTTACAGTGAGTTGATAATGACAGCTCAGGGAAGGTGAAGGTCATGATTGGGAGACTTGAATCGTTACTGGGTGTGGGAATTGTTTCACTACTCTTAACTTGCTCAAACTGGGGCAGGTTCTAGGAACTTGAACTAAAAATATCTATTTAAGCCTCTCTTTTTCTTTCCCTTTTTTCTTCGAAAGCCTTGATTTATTTATATAGACAAAACTGTGGTTCTTGGTATGTTGGGCCAAGATATTTGTTTCTATAGGAAATACTTGCATGTGGCACTGGGGTCAGTGAGTTTGGCTTTCTGAGCTTCAGACCCTTCCTCCCTGTCATCTGTCCAACACCCGATGGTTACTCTATAGCACAGGCCCAGTTTTCTCTGCACAAAACCTTTGGTGGTTCCGGTCCCCTACCCCCTATTTGTACCCACCAGAGTAAGGAATCTTTTTCTTTTTGGAAATCAAGAATTTGGCCTCACAGATGGCTTCTCATAAGTACCCTTGTGCCAGCCAAACTAGACTTGGTTCTTCTTGCCTCTGTGCCTTCTCTCAGCCTCTCCTCCTCCCTTCCACCTCCAAACCCCACTCCTGAGGCTCTGTAGGGCCATCTTCGTGGACGCTTTTTCTGTTTCAACCACATGGAATGTCCTGTGTGTACATTCCTTTCTGTTGCCTGAATTCGAGTTGGCATGAGCTCCTTTAAAGCAGAGACCATCACTCTCATCTCTATTCCTTGGTGTGTCCACAGGAATAGACATTCAGATGCTTATAGCCTGGTGGGGGAGGAGGCAGAGAAAACTAACCAGTGAAGTACAGGGGATAAGACATAGAGAAAACATTCCAGGCATTTGGAGACAGCTGAAAATATCATGTTGATTTTCATGATTTAGAAGTTTTTAACTGAATTGTTAAAATTGCCTTTTCTTTGCTCTATACAATGTCTACTATACTGTGGGTCATTTAGGCAAAATGAAAAGACTTAAGTCTAAAGTGTCTGAAGTGCCACAGCAAGCCTTAGTAAAGATGTGATTTGGGGAAACTTAATACAAATAAACTAGAGATTTGTAATAATGCCACTCATGAACTATTTTATTTCTGTAGCAGAACCATTTTTTCTATGGAGGTATTAATATGTATGTGTATCAGTGGTGGGAAAACTTGAAAATTCCAAAATCCTTACTTCCCTGTTTGAGAGGCTGGTTCAGCAGTGTGTGTGTGTTTGAGAGAGAGTGTGTGAATGAGAGAATGAATGATGTATTTATTACATTATTACATTATTTTGGAAGAGAATTAGTCTGTTATGTGGATATATATTAGGTACAGCCAAATTGGATGTTTCCATTTGGCAAGGAAGGTAGGATTTCTGAAACTCAGGCCTTAACCAGTAGGTTGGAAGAGAAGACCAATTGAAGCGTTATGAAATGTATGTTTTTATTGCTCCCGTTATTTCTCTGTTGGGTTCATTGTTTTATTTGCTTCAATGATTTTTAAAATTTTGTGCCTAAAAGTTTATTTCGCTTAATAATTAAGTAGACATGCACGTTTACATTTATGTAAAATATTTGCTGTGTAAAGTTTTTTTTTGTTTATTCTCTTAAAAGATCATTGTATTTAAATAAAAATGAAGGTCAACAATACACTTAACATCTTTGTGGCTTTTATTTTCTTACTAGCAATCAATGAGCCATATAGATTCTTTTAAGAGACTTTTGTGCTTAAGTCTAATCAGCTAACTAGAGTGATTCCTTTTTAATTTGGTGTTTATGATCATTAGGAAGTACACCTCAGTTTTTAAATGGTGTGACATTCAAAACTGAAGAATGAACTTCAGCTTTTAAAGGGTATGAAATTCAAAAGCGAAGGATGACTTTGGCAAGCCACATGGCATCTGAGGGCTTTTCACTTGGTCAGGAAAAGCAGGCTTAGCTTTGGGTCTGAGAACTACGTAAGGGTTAAACTGAATCCCCAGGCATCCTACAGTATTTTAGTTCCCCAGATTCCCTGCACCTGGGATGCCATCTACAGGTACACAAACACCTCTGACCCCCGTGGACATTCGGGGGGTGGGGGGGCGGGCGGTGATCTGGACTCCTTCCATTCTGTACTTCTGCTCCACGTCTGCCTGGTGGTCGTGCTCCTCTCCTGGACTGTAAACTCCTAGGTGGGCAGGGACTTTATTACTTTTTAATTCTCTGTGATGTTTCTAATGGGTGCTCAGTAAATTTGGGTTGAATAAAATTACATGTTAAGTTTCTAGGAATTCTCTGCTGTTTATTCTGCAACTGGTGCTCATTCCCTCAGGTGGAAATAGGAGTTAGGCTTGAATCTCGTATGCATTCATCACCCAAGGGAGTTTTATCTTCAGTTAACTGCGGCCACGATAATGGTATAAACAAACCATACCAAAACTCAATGGCTTAATAAGCATTTATTTTGCTCACAAGTCTGTGGGTTGATGATTTAGACTGGCCTTGGCTAGTATTGACTGGCTCCCTCTTATGTCCTGGCTGTTGACAGGTTTAGCTGATCTAGGATGGCTTTGGCCAGCATAGTGGGGACAGCTCCGCTTGTATCTCAGCCTCAGTAACCCAGCCTGAGCATGCTATGGCAAAGGCAGAAGTGCAAGAGAGGGAGGAAACAGGAAATGCTTCCATCACAATTGCTAACCTGTCATTGGCCAAAGCAAGTTACAGAGCCAAGTTCAGAATCAAGGGGTGGGGAAATACATTCTACCAATGGATGGGAGGAGTTGCAAAGTACATTGGAAAGGGTGTGGATGCAGGGAGGTGGGAAGAACTGGGGCTATTAATGCAATCAATCTGCTATATCCACATGCCCCATGGTCAAGAACATTGGGCCATGCGATCTCTAAGACCCCTCATAGCTCTGGCATTTTCCCTGTTCAGATAAATAGAAGTGCCAGCAGGAGTTAAGACAGATTTCTATTCATGATTTCTGCAGAGGGTGCCAAATGCAAGCCAATAGCTGGCTCCTCTTGGCTTGGCAACCCACCCTCACCCCTTACTGCATGTGGTTTGCTTTCCTCCTACCGTTTTACCAGAGCGCTATTCTGGTTATCTGTTGTTAACTAATAAACTACCCCAAAACTTAGTGGCTTAAAACAACAAACATTTTATTTCATGAAATCTATTGGTTAGGAATTGGGACCGAGCTTGGCTGGGCAAGTCTGCTCCTTGTGGCTTCAGCTGAGGTCACTCAGTGATACTCAGTCGGCCGATGGGCTAGACTGAAGGATCCAAGCTGTCTTCATTCACATCCCCTGGTGGGGATGGCTGGAAGCAGCCTCATCTGGGACTGTCAACCAGAGCCTACACCGCCTCTCCAGCATGGCTATCACAGGGTAGTGGGCCTTCTTCCTCGATGGCTGGCTTCCTCTAAAATGAGTGTTCTGAGAAGCTGCGTGGCCTCTTATGACCTAGCCTGGGAAGTCACACAGCATCACATCCATAGTATTCTTTTTTTTTTTTTTTTGAGACAGAGTCTTACTGTGTTGCCCGGGCTAGAGTGCCGTGGCGTCAGCCTAGCTCACAGCAACCTCAAACTCCTGGGCTCAAGCGATCCTCCTGCCTCAGCCTCCCGAGTAGCTGGGACTACAGGCATGCGCCACCATGCCCGGCTAATTTTTTCTATATATTTTTAGTTGTCCGATTAATTTCTTTCTATTTTTAGTAGAGACGGGATCTCGGTTTCGAACTCCTGAGCTCAAACAATCTGCCCACCTCGGCCTCCCAAAGGGCTAGGATTACAGGCGTGAGCCACCGCGCCTGGCTAATTTTTTCTATATATTTTTGGTTGTCCAGCTTATTTCTTTCTATTTTTAGTAGAGATGGGGTCTTGCTCTTGCTCAGGCTGGTCTCGAACTCCTGAGCTCAAACGATCCTCCCGCCTTGGCCTCCCAGAGTGCTAGGATTGCAGGTGTGAGCCACCGCGCCAGCTTACATCCGTAGTATTCTATTGGTCAAAGCAGTCTAACACTGGCCTGGATTCATGAGGAGGAGGTATAGACTGTACTGCTTGAATGGAAGAATATCAGAAAGCCACCCGCCCAAAGTCCCCACCTTTGTTCCCTGTGTTCTTTCGATCTGGTTTTCTGCCATTGTTCTCAGATAAACCATCTCTCCAGAGCAGTAGCTCTTAAAATGTGATCCTGGACCCAATATCATCAGCATTTTCTGGGCCTTTGTTAGAAATGCAAATTCTCAAGCCTACTAAATCAGAAACTCTGGGGTAGAGGCCCAGTAACCTTTGTGACAAGCCCTCCAGTTGATTCCAGTGAACACTGAAGCTTGAGAACCACGGCCCCAGGACAAACTGGCCTCCCTTGCTGAGCCTCGAGGGATGATCCATGATCACGATTGGCTACTTTCGGCTTCCCCTGCTGGGTGAGAAAGGGTTGAGGGTAACCCGAGGGTGGGACATGCAGTGGCATGTAGTACTGTTTATGGGTTGGCACATCAAAGACCAAAATGTAGAAGAGCTGGGGAGACAGGGAAGACAATCTATTTCCTCGTCATCCTTGAAGAAATTCAGGGGCCAAAATAACCCCAACTGAAATTCTCATGAGGTACTACTGTCTTTGCAGCAGAATTCAGTGTTACACGTGGCCCCTTTTCAGTTCTATAAAGGGGTAGGTGGTGGGGCAAGGAGGAACAGAGGGCAGGGGAAATAGTTAATTTCTTCCTTTGTTAAGGTTGTGTTGCTTGTGGAATGGTCTGACTGTAAAAGTCAACTGTCTGGGACTGAAAAGAACTCAGGGTGAGCCTGCAGGGAGAAGGCCCCAGAGGAAGGCAATGTGAGTTCTTTCATTGTTTTCTCAGGCAGGGTTGGATGAGGTGGGAGCGGAGTCCTTAGCCCACCACTCCTGTGATTTGCAAATCTTAGAATGGTTACAAATGAGGATGCAGCAGGATAAACTATGCTTCCAGAACCTCTGGGCCTAGGGGTGGTAATGGTGGGTGCTTAAGTGCAGCAATCTCCTTGGTGAATTACCAACGTCCTTGACCCGTGAGCTGATTGTCACTACACAAGTGGAAGAACTGAGTTTCACTGAAAATGTTAATTGGCTCACTCTCCTGCGGGGAGGGGTGGGGCTGGACCACTCCAGTAGAGCCGTCACTGGGGCACAGGGTGGCCCGTTCATTGTAATGAGCTCTGGAGACTCTGTAGCAATTTGATCCATTCGTGCCCTTCGTGCCCCTAATAGAGTGACGGATACCCTATGTCTTTGCCGGGAGACACTCAGGAACTTTGTCCTGCTGCCTTCAGCACTAGTTCCTAAGTGCCTAGTGACCAAGCTTCCTTCAAAAACCTTACTTTGCTTACAAATTTGTTACTCAAACAGCTTTGCAGGTGGATAGGGAAGAGACCTTGGGCCACATCCCATCCCCACACTTCCCTGGTTATGGTGGCAGCTTCTAGGCTGGCCTAGAGAATCCCAGTGACAGGGTAGATCCTTGAGAGGCAGTTGAGCAAAGCATGAGCCTCTGTTACCGGTGAAAGGATCAAAACCAGCCTAATACTGAAGGAGTGAGAAAATCGGTCCAGACTGACAGAGTAAAAGTCAGTCCTGTGTCCCTGCCACGCATCACACTGCCGCAGCTGACACTCAGAACACCACTGCAAACGGAAAGCAATATTTCTTTGTTTTTTTTGAGAGAGAGAGTCTGACTCTCTTGCCTAGGCTAGAGTGCTGTGGCATCAGCCTAGCTCACAGCAACCTCAAACTCCTGGGCTCAAGCGATCCTTCTGCCTCAGCCTCCTGAGTAGCTGGGACTACAG